TTTTCATAAAAAAACACTTACTGATCCTTCGCTCTTGAGACACGTGCATATACGTATCATTCAATACGACCACTTTTAGCCGTACCATCACGTAAAATGAGCCTCTACGTGCCACACATCCGTACCATTTCGTGCATTCTCGAAACCAACCCGAGCCACAACCCGCACCTCTTTCAATGAAACTGATTGACCAGTTTGATCATATAGGCCAATCAGATTCTTTTTAAATTCATTATGGAAGATGCTTGAGAACGACCTTAGTTCCTGATCAGCGATGTTAGTTTCTAATCGGTTTAATTTTCAAGGGCTAAGTCTGATAAATAATAAACTTGATATATCGAAACCTGGGTTTCCATTATGGCATTCGTATATTACAATTTAAAAAGATCAAACATATTTAATATACTTCACAATTAGTGCTCGGCTAAATCAAGCAAAAACTTGATTATCAAGTTTTTGTTTGATTTTGCCGAGCACTATTCGCAATTGAGTGATTTTTTTTGACTCACGAATCTCTCAAATCATGATTCGAATCATGATAGACTCGAATTATTCAAGTCACGAGTCGAATAGTCCAATGATTAGTTCGTCCTAATGTTTTATATATTAGGGCTAATCAATGAGTCGAAATATATTGGGTGAATCACATTTCAATTAATTGAAAGTATTTATGATCAAACGCGCTTGTCAAGATAAATAAATAAGGTACGTAAGGACACGTGGTTGACTTACATGAAGAAAAAATTTAATAGTAAAAAAAAGTTCAGTAAGTTTATCATTCTGGTCAACAAATTTTTCCTCAAACGTTTTTTTTTTGTATTAATTTTCAAAACTTTTGGAAAATTGCAAAGTTAAAAAGAGAACTGGAAATCGAATTAGAAAATAAAGAGTAATGGTCATTCATTTTTAATAGAATTTTGTTTATTTATTAGCTATACTATCATGCTCACTTGCTAGCTCTCAAGACTTATTTCAAACATTAATCATTAATTGATGTGTTGAAATTGTTCAACGCTTCTCATCAGCAAACAAGCAAATGAACAATTTGATGATTCAAATCTGCAGATAAAAGAAATTACATTTGTTAGAACCTAAGATGGATGGGGAAAAGGTATCCTTTAAACCAGTAGTTGGGAAAGTTCAGTAAACTAATAATTTGAATAAAGGGCCTCAAAAAAAATTCGCAAAGTTATTAGTGATATAAATACTCCACGAACTGCAGAAAATATTTTTCCATAATGTTTCATCTCATCATACGCGGTAAACTCATCTTCCTCTTATCATCAGGTCTTTGATGACGACCATGATGAAGACGAAAAAAAGAGGATTTGTAAAACAGTTTTGTGTAGATGACAGAATAAATGATCGGGAAAGTTGAAGAACAGCACTGATTGTAAAAAAGGTCGATTTGGAGAAAAAGGTTTGAAGATTACAGTGCTCTTAGACTTATTATTTAATAATATTTTTGATTTGCATTTTTTTTTTAGTATTAAGTCATTCAAAGCACCATATAATATACTAAATCACTGACGTAATATCAATCTTAACTCAATTATTGATAAAGTTTTATCAGCAAAACGTGTAGAAGGCTTAGCTCGCCTTTGGCAAAGGCGTGAGAAAAACTTCATATATAAACAAGCTGATCCACCAGACTATGATGATCTTACTTTCGTGACTATCGCTATAAACTAATCAGAACTATTCTAAACCAACCTTCAGCAAAAAGACTTGAAAGCAATTCGCGTGACTATCGCTATAAGCTAATCAGAACTATACTAAACCAACCTTCAGCAAAAAGACTTGAAAGCAATTCTAAAATACCAGTGATGCAACAAACTGGGTGAAGGTTTTGAAAGAGTTCCGTGCTGATATAAGATATGAAGGAAAAATTGAAGATGTTAATAATTTTTTAATTTAATTATGGAGCGTGTGATAACAAAGATTTTCCTCTACATCGAAAGGAAATGAGCTTGAATCTATAGCTCTCAGAATTCTTAAAAATATGAAGGATTGATTGTCAAAGAGTAAGGTAGAATAAATAATAATCTGGGTATCGTTATCAATGCATCAAAAAGAGCTTAAAGGTTCCTCTCCTTTGAGAAAAATTTTCCTACTTTATCAGAAGCAACTTAAAATTTTTTGTGAGTATAATAAAGGGTTATATGATTTCTCACCAATCCTCTTCTGATAATAATTTTAAATTTAATCTTTTATGAAAGAAAATATAGAAAAAGAAAATCACTTCACTTGTTGGTCTAAACCAGAAATACATAACTATTTCAGACCAAATATTATAATATTAAATACTATGCCATTACAATTTATTTCTGTTTTAAATAATATATTTAAAATAAAAAAAGGGTTGAACCAAAGTGATTGCAAGATCAGCCTATTCAAAAGCAAGCGCAGGAATTGCAAGATCAGCCTATTCAGAAGCAAGCACAGGAACGAAATTATCAACCCGTGCCGGTTAGAGTATGATTGCTGCCTTGCCTGCTGGTTATGGTGAAAACGCGAAATGAATAAAGTTTTGAAGCCGTGGGACTGTACCTACCCTTACTGATGTAATACTCAAAGTCAATGAGGAGAAAACATTAAAGAAAAGACACAGACATTGACCTTTGTTTGCTATTGAAAGCTTTAAGAAAACACTATAATCATATAGACTACGTATCGTACTTTGCACATGCTGTGTGTGACATTTAATTGAACAAAAAATAATGAGATTATTATATATTTTCTAAATGTCACATTTGATTGTAGTGTAGAAATAATTTTTTTATCACGTGCGCGGAGAAAAATTAAGCAAGGAACGATAATACTGTACACTATGAATCAGCAAAATCAATTACTTTTTCCTTATATTCACTTTAGCTCATCCCCCATTTCTGATGTTCTTATTTTAGTCGTTTTCACAGCTTATTTCGGCTATAACATCATCAAAGGTGTTAATTATTATATCTTGTATAAGAATAGGCCACAAATTAATTATTTGCAAAACAAAAGGTTCATATATTAACACAAATCCATCAACACCAGACAGATCAAAAAAAAAAAGAATTAACTGATCAAAAAAAACAAAAGAAACGAGCAACATTTTAAATTCTGTTAGCAAAATAAATCTATTTGTATATTTATGTTAACAAAAAAATTTGTCCAGACTATCAATTATTAATTTTTTTTTTCGTGGAATGAAGCTGTCACGAATAATAAAATGAACACGAAAAAAGGTTATAAATGTGTAGAGTAAGATTTGGGAAATATGCTATGCATAAATTATGCGTATTCTCCAACGCTTGTGTATATATGTAACGGTAAAGCCATTGAAAGTTTGTTAAAGTAAGTAAGTACATATAAGAGCAATAAAGCTACTAAACTCAAAATCGTCTTCGATCAAAACATTAGAATCGATAATAAAAATATACTAGTTAACCCGATATACTACAGTACTATAGAAATATTATATTCTACTTTATATTTACACCTTATCAATACAAGTTAAAATTTTTTCAAAATCAAATTCAACAAATATTATAATAATACAATATACTATAATGTTCAAAAATAAGAAAAATAAATAAAAAAAAAATAAAAACAAAGTAATTACAATAAAAAATAAAAATAAAAAATAAAAAAAAAATCGTAAAATTACAGGAAAAATAATTAATGAAACCTTTTCCTAGCAAAACACCTAAAGTTTCCGATTGTTGTTTTATATCGATCAAATTCTTGTTCAACAGATGTAATGAATTCATCATAATCAGGGTCGTTGTCATGTGATTTTAAGTAAATGGACTTTCCTATACTTTTATAATTTTTTAGCATCTAGAATATAGAGAAATAGAGAAATAGAGAAATATTAGAGAAATATGCAATATAAAAAATTTTCTTTACTAAATATATTAAATATATTAAACGATCAAAAATCTTACCAAAGAACCATATTGACCACCCCAAGCACCAATTGGACCTCTTTTTTCAAAATGCTTAAAATCTACGAGAGAGAGATTATTTTTCATCATTTGAGGAATTAAATCGACTGTATTTTCAGAAGTTATCCCTTGTACTATGAAATATATTTAATTTTCGTCAAATTAACATAAATTAAATTATCGTTAATTAAATTATCGTTAATTAAATTATCGTTAATTAAATTATCGTTAATTAAATTATCGTTAA